AAGGTTAATGTAACTATTTTCAATATTATGTTTACTTTTACAGCATCAATGTTGTAATTTGATTAAAATACAATCAGTTAAATTGACTAAAGTGTTTATTTAGTTGCCGTAAAACGTGATGAAAGACCATGTAAACGCAAGTGCTGTCAGTATCAGCAGGCTAGTGCAGAAATTCTATTGAAAATACTGGAGTAAGATATATTGTTATTTTATTTTAGACATGGTGCGGAACAATGGAATTTAATGCAGTGCTTCTTGTACATCTTGAGATCAACTTTATATTGTATTTCAATCAGGCAGTGGAGATCAGTGATTTTTAAAGAAAACAGACCGTGGTGGTTTTGTATTGGCATACAGTTCACTGGAAGCACTTGAACTGGGTTATTGAAAATTAAAAGTCCTTCTGCTTATGCGAGACCACATGGCATGGCAAGGTTGCTGCTAGAAGTGGTGTTAGTGAGACCAGCAGGGGGCGCTCAACCTGCAGTCTGTGTAGGTCCTAATGCCCCAGGATAGTGAAGGGGACTCTATACTGCTCAATGAGAGCCGTCTTTCAGCTGAGACGCTAAACCGAGCTCCTGACTCTCTGTGGTTAATCTGCCAATGGGGTAAGCAAAATAGTCTTGCTTTTCCTTTTGACATAATATTATTTTTGCTTACCCCATTAGCAGATTATTTTGCTTGTTTTAAGGAAACACTCACTTAATTTTTGGCATATTATTTCTTAAAACAAGACAACATGTTGTGCTTGTCTACATAATTCTTCTTAATTTAAGAATTAAAAAAAGAAAAATCTAAGTAAGAAAAGCATTTTTTGCAGTGCAGCAGATGCCTTTCCAGCTGCAACCCAGAACTGGGAAACACCCAAATACACTCGCATTCACGCACATACACTACAGCCAATTTAGCTTATTCAATTCACCTATAGCGAATGTCTTTGGACTGTGGGGGAAACCAGAGCACCCGGCAGAAATCCAAGTGAACACGGGGAGAACATGCAAACTCCACACAGACCCACCCGGGGTTCAATCAAAAAAAAAAAAAAAACACATTATTGCTTTACAAAAATTCACAATTGAAATCACTATACACAAATCAAAGGCGGGAGTACCATGTTGCAAATTCATTCTGCTAAAGGTTTATTGTGATTTAGCCAAACACAAAAGTCTACCTTGTTGGAGGTGAGATACATAGGACATAATGTAATTCTGTTCAAAAAGGCTATTTGTAACAGCAGATTAAAAAGAAATCCCATGGCCCTAGCCGGACAAAGTGCTTCTCTCCTTTTCTTTTTTCTGTCTGTTTCCATTTTTTTTCTCTCTCTTTTCAGCTCTGCAGACAAAGTTGCAATTAGCATGCTAATGCCGAGATCTGAACCTCAAAAGCTATAGAGTCAGTAGGAGGCTTTTCTGGGTGTCTGGAGATAACAAAGGACCTTTTACTAAAAAAAAAAAAAAAAAAAAAAAACTGATGAAACATTGCCAATTATTCTGAAGGGCCTGATTTCTTCAGGATATGTATGTTTTTAATCCCTTCTCCTCAATTTGCTGTTGAAGTCTGTTGATTAATTAAGTTGCATGCATTTTAGCATTCTCCTTTAGACAGAATTGTGTGGCTCATCCAGGGTTTTGATGCTTTTGGCTGTATTTTAGAGTCTGGAGTGGTTCATTTAGGAGTCCTACCAGGTTTGTATTTTCAAAGAGTTGAAGGATCAAAGGATCTTCTAATGCAGAGGTGGTGGGCACCAGCTAAGACCTGCGGTTTAAAGATGGGTGGTCTTAGCGTTAGGTCAGAAATAATGAAGAGTGCATAATAGCCCTATTTATGGAACCTTCGAGTCCAAACCCAAGTACCCTCAGTACTCACAAGAAACAAAGAAACGTGTTCGGTGATGCATTTAAAAAAGAAAATAGATTTTTTCCTTGATTGTGCGAGCAAAAGTGGTCTGAAAGGTGGTCTCTTGCAAGTATAAGGGGGCACCTGTGATCAAAGCCCTTGGGGACTGGACTTTGCTAAGCCTCCTGCTCTTGTTGTTATTCGTCAGGGCTGGGCATGCTGGGAATACAGCTGGGCTATCCAGGAGAACGCTGGCAAATTTAAGAAAGTCCACCTAAATCCGAAAGTACCTTACACTCCTGGGTTGCTAGCAGATGCTTTGCTAGTGCTCAGATGTTCATTTCTCTTGCAAAGACATTGATTCAGGTCATTATTTCACTTTTATCCTGTATTTATCGAAATTGCATACTTCCATATTATATTTTACACTAAGTTCATAGAACTTGAAAACCAGTAAGTACTCAGATGACTTACTACTTCCAGCTAGATTATGAAGTGCACATTTCGAAGGACACTTTGCTATCCCATGATGGCCCGCGAGAGGATTAGTGAATGGGAGTTAAGCGACACAACTGACATGGCTAGGTCACGTGATCATGACAATGGCGAATATAGGATGTCCAAGTTTCATTCCTACTGCTCACATTCATACTGTATAGAACGAATAGAACGGTTGAGTTGTACATTTAAATTCAAATGCAGTACCTATTGAATAGAAGGCGGTTTCGGATGCAGCCTAAATAAGGAGCAAATAGAGAATTGTCTTATAAAAAGGATTATATCAAAATATTTTATTATTGTTTGTCAGTGAGATCAATTACCACATATAAATGTTCCATAATGTATATTATTAACTGCAAAATTGCCATAACTTTTTTTTTTTTTTTGAGAACATCATTAAATATATAGTTTTATTGAGTTGGTTTGTGTAACTTTGGCTGGTTTAGGACTGTTATGATAGGTGATAGGGGAAATTGCATACTTCTATATTATATAGTACACTAAAACCAGTATGTAAGCTGAGTATGTCCGAATTCATAGAACTGTTTAAAAAACGGTTTATTATTTTTCTCCAATTTCAGTTTAATAAAAAGAAGATTTCATCAACAAATTTCTAAACATAGTTTTATCAACTCATCTCTAATAACTGATTTATTTTATCTTCGCTATGATGACAGTAAATAATATTTAACTAGATATTTTTTCAAGACACTTCTATACAGCTTAAAGTGATGTTTAAAAGCTTAACTAGGTTAATTAGGTTAACTAGGCAGGTTTGGGTAATTAGACAAATTATTGTATAACCATGGTTTGTTCTGTAGACTATCGAAAATACATAGCTTAAAAGGGCTACTAATTTTGACCTTAAAATGGCTTTCAAAAAATTAAAAACTGCTTTTATTCTAGCCGAAATAAAACAAATAAGACTTTCTCTAAAAGAAAAAATATAATCAGACATACTGTGAAAGTTTCCTTGCTCTGTTAGACATATATATTTTTAATTCCTGATAAAAAATAGCATTTTGCAAGCTTTTTTTTATATTATAAGAAATATTATTCTCACAACACTCAGCAACAATACTGCATATTTTTCCAGTATCATGCAGACCTAAATTTTAATAATAATAATAATTATTATTAGGCAACGCAGTGGTGCAGTAGGTAGTGCTGTCGCCTCACAGCAAGATGGTCGCTGGTTCGAGCCTCGGCTGGGTCTGTTGGCTTTTCTGTGTGGAGTTTGCATGTTTTCCTTGCATTTGCATGGGTTTCCTCAGGGTGCTCCTGTTTTTCCCATAGTCCAAAGACATGCGGTACAGGTGAATTTGGTAGGCTAAATTGTTTGTAGTGTATGAGTGTGTATGGATGTTTCCCAGAGATGGATTGCAGCTGGAAGGAATCCACTGCGTAAAACAAATGCTGGATAAGTTAGCGGTTGCGGCGACCCCAGACTAATAAAGGGACAAAGCCGAAAAGTAAATTAATAATAATAATAATTATAATAATAATATCTGAATAATAATAATATCTGTATAATAATAATAATAATAATAAATAAATAAATAAATAAATAAATCAGTCAGTCAGTCAGTCAGTCAGTCAGTCAAAGTAAGTAAGTAAATAAATAAATAAGAAAATAAATAAGAAAATAAATAAATAAGAAAATAAATAAATAAGAAAATAAATAAGTAAATAAATAAATGACAACAATGTATAGAATAAAAGACAAATAGAATGTAAGGGAAACAGCACATCGGAATCAATATAATAATAATAATAATAATAATTTTACGCAGTGGATGCCCTTCCAGCCGCAACCCTTCTCTGGGAAAAATAAAAGTAATAATAAAAATAACGATAATATTAATAATAATAATAATAATACTAACAAATAGTAATGATGATGATGATGATGACAATAACAACAACAACAACAATAACAATAATAATAATAATAAATAATAGTTATGATGATAATAACAATAATCATAATAATAATAATAACACATAACAATTGTAATAATAGTAAATAATAATAACAACAATAATAATAATAATAATAATAATAATAATAATAATAATAACAACACATAACAATTGTAATAATAGTAAATAATAATAACAACAACAACAATAATAATAATAATAATAATAATAATAATAATAATAATAATAATAATAATAATGATAATAATAATGATGATAATAATAGATAATAATGACAATAATAATAATAATATTAATAATGGTGATGATGATGATGATGATATTTTTATTATTATTATTATTATTATTATTTTATGAAACTTTAGTGTTAACACAGCTACTGATGTGTATTTTCATGACATTTTGTCATGGCGAACACACAAATTCGGATTTAGCTGCACTAGCAAGATGGCATGAAATTACCAGACCTTTGGACATTTGTTTGGACATTTGTAGGTGATTTCTGCCCAACTCTCACCCGTATCATGTGCACATGCTTGTTAGTCTGTCCCCTCTGCAGTCATACCGGATGCTGAAACCAAAACCTCAGCGTGTGTGATCATACTGTGGTTTTGTTTTGACATACTTAATATTTAATACCATCACAAATATCCATCCGACTCGACAGATAACGATCGACGATAACAGGCTTTTGACATGCCAGTGCTCATGTGTTGCAGATGGAGGATCGAGAAGCTCTGATTCTGGAGCTCCAGGATGTCATCACTGAACTGCACCAGGAGATGTCTCTGAAAGAACAGCATGAGCTCCAGCAGCTTCAGCAGCTCCTTCAGCTGGACGCCAGAGTCAAAGAGCTGCAACAACAGGTAGAAGAAACATAGCAAGCTGTAAAATAACATAAGTAAAAATGTTAAATTTCTTTTTTTTTTTTTATCATATTTTTATTGATTTTACAAGGGAGTGTTCACAGGATCTTTAAGAAATTCAAAGGGGGCTAATGATTCTGACTTTAACTGTACGTCCATACACACATAGTAATAAACAAAATAAAGTAGGTAGAAATCCACTCAGATTGTCAGAGATTCTGGTTGTAGCACACTGATTTCTATTATCCATCAGTCTTTCTGCCAGTTTTTTTCTGCAGCCGCTTTCCACGCATCAAGAGTTGAGGCTCTAGCCTTATTTATTCTGCCTGTTGAAAATTCTGACAATACTATATCGTAAATCTGAAATAGCCACTGCCGAATAAATAAAGAATGCGGAGGGAGCCATCTTTGCGCAATGATCTTTTTATGCTGATGTTAGTTTTGCCAACCAGACCTATCATTGTCGGTCTGTCAAACCCAAAACTGGAATCATCAATTAAAAGTGGCACAGCTGGTTGCACTGGTATATCTTTTCTTATGATTTCAGATAATATTGATGACGTTTTTTTCCAAAACTCATACACCTTCTTATATTCCCACACCATATGTATAAATGTTTTACCTGTTTGTAAAATGTGAAATTTCTTAAAAAAAAACAAAAAAACCAAAGGAGTTGGTTAAAGTAAATTAAAGTGATTTTTTATCTCTTTTTTGGCAAAAAATGACAATTGGTAAAAATAACAAATGTTTTTTAAGGTGCTGTTATTATAACTTATTCTGCCAAAAACAGAACACAGTATTTTCACAGTATGTCTGATAATATTTTTCTTCTGGAGAAAGTCTTATTTGTTTTATTTCGGCTACAATAAAAGAAGTTTTTAATTTTTTTAAAGCCATTTTAAGGTCAAAATTATTATCCCTTTTAAGCTACTTTTTTCCAATTGAACAAACAGAACAAACCATCTTTATACCTAATTACCCTAACCTGCCTAGTGAACCTAATTAACCTAGTTAAGCCTTTAAATGTCACTTTAAGCTGTATAGAAGTGTCTTGAAAAATATTTAGTAAAATGTTATTTACTGTCATCATGGCAAAGATAAAATAAATCAATAATTATAAATGAGTTATTAAAACTATTATTTAGAAATGTGTTGAAAAAATCTTCTCTCCAATAAACAGGAATTGGGGAAAAAATAAACAAGTGGACTAATAATTCAGAGGGGCTAATAATTCTGGTTTCAACTGTATATATTTTGTCTTTTTCTGAAGTTAAATAATTTCTAAATATTAGCTTTTTTTATTTTGACCAGCTGTTAGTTAATGCCTTTTTTCTCAATTTAGAAGAAATATCATCAGTAGTTTGCAGGATAATAATAATAAAAAAAAATCCTCAAATGAATATTTTTGTAATGAAACAAAAAGGCTCATTACTAAAGACAGAGTGTGTTTAATCATTTGTTTTGTCATTTATTTTGATATTTTTTAAACGCTTGCATAAAAAGGTGCTTCATTATTATTTTATCTAGCTTTTCGAAATAATTATACAGTTAAAGTCAGAATTATAAGCCCCCCTTTTATTTATTTATTTTTTTATATTTTCCAAATGTTGTTTAATAGAGCAAGCACATTTTCACAGAAATTTGTTTTATTTTGGCTAGAGTAAAAGCAGTTTAAAAAATGTTTAACACCATTTTAAGGACAGTTATTTGCCTCTTTAGGCAATTTTTTTCTGATAGTCTACTAAACCAACCATCGTTATACAATAACTTGCCTTATTACCCTAACCTGCCTAATTAACCTAGTTAAGCCTTTAAATGTCACTATAAGCTGTATAGAAGTGTCTTGAAAAAATATCTAGTCAAATATTATTTACTGTCATCATGGCGAAGATAAAATAAATCCGTTTTTTAGAAATAAGTTATTAAAACTATTATGTTTCAAAATGTGTTGAATAAATCTCTCCATTAAACAGAAAATGGGTGAAAAAAATTAACGCGGTCTAATAATTTAGGGGGACTAATAATTCTGACTTCAACTGTAAATATTTACTCAAACTATAATTTTCAGTATAAAGTGTGCTCTGGGTGCTCTTGTTTCCCCCATAATCTAAAGACATGCACTGTAGGTGAATTGGATGAACTAAATTGGCCATTGTGTGTGTGTGTGTGTGTGTGTGTGTGTGTGTGTGTGTGTGTGTGTGTGTGTGTGTGTGTGTGTGTGTGTGTGTGCGTGTGTGCGTGTGTGCGTGTGTGTGAATGTGAGAGTGTTTGGGTGTTTTCCAATACTGGTTTGCGGCTGGAAGTGCATTTGCTGTGTAAAATATATGCTATAAAGTTTTTGCTTTGACTAAAAAATAGACTTAACCGAAGGAAAATGAATGGATGGATGAATGAATTAATAGTTGTTGAAATCAGATATTTTTCACTGTTTGTTGATGTTAACTCACTCATTTTAACAATGAAAGCTTATTATCAAGTCTTACCAAATTACAAATACAAGTTTAAATTCCTTTATCATCCATACAAGCAATATCTGTGTATAAAGTCTAACTCGGCCTGAATCACATTTCATGTGCTTTGCTTTTTCCTCCATCCAAGTAATCATTTTATGTATCGTTGATCAAGTACAGTCACGGCGCAGCACAGAGGTTTGAAGTCTGCCTGACTAAATTGTTTGTTGACAGCCTCAAAGTGTGCACTTTTAGTTGTTTTCATCCTTGGTCCCTTCCAGCCTCTTTGTTTAGAAGACACATTAGAGCTGCGTGTAAAAGGAGTGAACGTCTGCCACAGATACATCAGATGGTTATCTTGTCTGCAAACTGACATTTTTGCGTCTTCCGTAGACACTTTAAACTGTGTCCAACATACTCACATGTATTTAAAGTGCAAACATCTCACTATACGCAGCTATTTGACGTCACCGAAAAATGTCACTGTTTGATCAAATTTATTTGACATTTTCTCTTATTTTGCCAAACACGAAGGCACTTTTATTTGTATTTGGTATTATTTGGTAAACGTGTTTCAAATTTCGTAGAATGGGCAAGAAGCTCTTGTAAAGATTACATGCTTTTGATTATCCTATCCTAGCAAAAACATGCATTGCTTTTGCATCGCAAAAACATAGTTGCTGTGTCTACTTTGACTACTCGAGTTGGCACTACTACTATTTGAATTTACTACCTGACCATTAAAAAAATATGTTCTATATAGTATTAATGGAATTCAGATTATCATCTGATCTACCTATCAGTTGTGTCGCTTTATTCCCTATCATGAATTATCTTGTATGGCATCATGGGATAGCATAACGTCCATTGGATGTGCACTACAGAATCTCGGCGGAATCTCGTTCGTGAATTTCCTCCGTATACGTGTTGCCTACTGTTTTTTGAATACTGTGAATTCAGACACGCATACTTGGCACACATACTTTCCAGTCCTATATAGTAAGATAGTATGCAATTTTGGATGCAGCCTTAACATAAAAATCTGTTTTTCGGCTTAGGATCAGAATTGGAACTTTTACATGGTTTTGTTACAAGCAGTTCACAAATAAACTAAATGCACAAAACCCAGAGATACTTTTACTCTGGGGTAAGAGCTTTCCTCCAACCTGGAGAATAAATTAAATTAAATTAAATTAAATTAAATTAAATTAAATTAAATTAAATTAAATTAAATTAAATTAAATTAAATTAAATTAAATTAAATTAAATTAATTCCTTTAAATTAAATTAAATTAATTTCCTATCTGGAAATTAGTATCTCTGGGTTTTGTTGGCGAGTGAGGGTAGGATGGAACGTGAGATTGACAGGCGGATTGGTGCAGCGGCAGTAGTAATGTGGTCGATGGACCGTTCCGTTGTGGTAAAGAAGGAGCTGAGCCAAAAGGCAAAGCTCTCGATTTACGTTCCTACTCTCACCTATGGTCATGAGCTTTGGGTCATGAACTAAAGGACAAGATCTCGGATACGAGCGGCCGAAATGAGTTTCCTTCAAAGAGTGGCAGGGCACACTCTTATGAATAGGGTGAGGAGCTCTGACACCCGGGAGGAGAGTAGAGCCGCTGCTTCTCCACATCGAGAGAAGTCAGCTGAGGTGGCTCAGTCATCTGTTTCAGATGCCTCCTGGACGCCTACCTAGGGAGGTGTACCAGGGATGTCCCACTGGGAGGAGGCCTCAGGGAAGACCCAGGCCATACTGGGGGAACTATGTCTCTCGGCTGGCCTGGGAATGCCTTGAGATCCCCCTGGAAGAGCTGGAGAAAGTGTCTGGGGAGAGGGAAGTCTAGGGTTCTCTCCTAAGACTGCTACCCGTACGACCCGGCCCCGGAAAAACTGCAGTAATTTAATTTAATTTAATTTAATTTAATTTAATTTAATTTAATTTAATTTAATTTAATTTAATTTAATTTAATTTAATTTAATTTAATTTAATTTAATTTAATTTAATCATTCATTCATTCATTTTCTTGTCGGCTTAGTCCCTTTATTAATCCGGGGTCGCCACAGCGGAATGAACCACCTTCTTATCTAGCATGTTTTTACGCAGCGGATGCCCTTCCAGCCGCAACCCATCTCTGGGAATTTAATTTAATTTCATTTTATTTCATTTCATTTCTTAAGCCCCTTTAAGACCTTGCATTTCTATTTAGTGTAAACTCATAATCATTAAATGGCTCTCTGTTTGTGTTTTAGGAGAACTAGCTTATTAAGTGTAGCTTTTTCTGTAACACTTAACAATATGGTTCATTAGTTAATGCATTTACTAACATGAACAACACATGTACAACATTTATTAATCATAATTGAACATTTACTAATGCATTATTAACATCCAAGTCCATGCTTGTTAACATTATTTAATGCACCATGAGTTAACATGAACAAGCAATAAACAACTCTATGTCATTAACTGACGTTAACTAACATGAACAAATACAGTGGTAAATTAATTGCTCTTTGTTTGTTCATGTTAGTAAATGCATTAATTAACATTAACTAATGAACCTTATTGTAAAGTGTGACCAATTTTTCCCTCATCTGTCCAGGAACAGCGTTCAGAAGAGACTATTGCTCAGCTGAGACTGGAGCTGGCTGAGAGAGCAGAGAACAACAGTGTCGTGCAGAATGTCGTAAGTACACGTTTATAAGTGTATATTCACACCTCACTTGCTCTTAACCTTATGACTCCTACAACAGATGAAAAAGGTTGTTGGGGTAAAATTAACGTTTGAATAGTTTCCAGCATTTTAAATGCTAAATGTAAAACCATGCGTTATTCATTTTCTTTTCGACTTAAGTCCTTTATTAATCTGGGGTCACCACAGTGGAATAAACTGCCAAATTATCCAGCATATGTTTTGCGCAGCGGATGCCTTTCCAGCCACAACACAACACTGGGAAACACCCATACACTCTTGCATTCACAAACATACAGTACGGCCAATTTAGCTTATTCAATTCACCTGTACCGGTTGTCTTTGGACTGTGAGGGACTTGGAGCACCTGGAGAAAACCCACGTGAACACGGGCAGAACATGCAAACTCCACACAAAAATGCCTATACTGACCCAGCCGGGGCTCGAATTAGAGACCTTCTTGCTGTGAGGCGATTGTGATACCCACTGCACCACTGTGACACCCAGGCCATGCTTTAAATTATGTTAAGAACAATGCCAAAAACCTACAGCAAGCCTACATTTTTCTAAAACCACAGACATTTCCTGAAACTTGCATTTGCTTGCAGTTTCTAAGTAAGATCAAAGCTAGAGGGCAGTATGACTCGAGCAACTTTTGTTTCTTTTCACATTTATGATGTTTACATAGTAGGGGATTAACTTGGAATTAAACTCATATCATAAATGCATGCAAAAACAAACTAAAACAACTCACCATCAATATAAGTACTGCGCTTGTTTCTCTAGCAACATTAGGAAAAACTTTTGAAACATTTTTCTTTAGCGGCATCCATTGCTTTCTGTATGTTGCAAATCAACACAAACAGATATCATATGACGACACTGGTGTGCGAGAAAAAAAAAGGAATTCTAGTCATTGTAAAATCGCTTTTCTGGACACTTAATGCGTAAACATCGGGGGGAATCTCCTCATCTACCACCAGTGTGCAGCATCCACCTGAATGACGCAAAGGCAGCCATATTGCTCCAGACAGCACACCACACACCCGCTGATGGAGAGGAGACAGAAATACGAAGCCAATTATGATACGGTTATGATTAGTAGGCCATGATGGACAGAGGCCAGTGGGCAAATTTGTCCAGGATGCCAGACTTAAACCCCTACTCTTTTTTTGAAGGAAATTCTGGGAGTATTAGCAACCACAGAGAGTCAGGACCTCGGTTTTAATGTTTCATCCGAAAGACAGCGCTTACTGCGCAGTATAGAGTCCCCTTCACTATACTGGGGCATTAAGACCCACACAAATCGCAGGTTGAGCCCCCCCTGCTGGCCTCACTAACACCACCTCCGGCAGCAACCTAGCTTTCCCATGTGGTCCCATCCCGGAACTGACCAGGCGCAGCCCTGCTTAGCTTTAGTGGGCAACCATGTGAGTTGCAGAGAGCTAGCTGCCAGCAGATATGGTTATTGGTTCTTAAAAGGGAAACTTACCATAAAATGGGGTCGCATATAGAGTAATTTAGCATTCCTGCGGCCTTGTAACTAATTTTTCACAACCTGGTAGTGAGTTGCGACTCAAGGGTTGCGGATCACTGGTCTAAGGACTTGAATCACAAAGCATAATGCATTTCAGATTCACAAAAAAATGTAGACAGCAATGTATTTTACGTTTTGCAAAACAATTTGGCATGTATTTCCAATAAGCCCAGGCTGACAGGACTTCTCAATCTCGGTCCTGGAGGTGTAGTGTTCTTCAGATTTTAGCTCCAACCCAATCAGACACAGCTAGCTAATCAAGCTCTTACTAGACTTTCTAGAAACATCCTTGCAGGTTTTTTGAGGCAAGTTGGAGCTAAAATCTAAAGGACACCGGACCTCCAGGATAGAGTTTGATTGGTCTATTAGCTATGCTGTGTTTCCAAGAAACCACTTTCCTTTAAAAGTGTGGAATTAAACAATGACCTTCTTTAAAAAAAAAAAAACAACAACTTATATTTGGAAAAATAGTTTCAAAACAAGATCTTTGCACAAGGCTAACACATCGAGGTTTGACTTTTAGAGTAGCGGCCACACAATAACATGTTTGAAGCAGGAAATCTGTCAAACAACTGTTGGTTAGATTGTTGTATTATGTTGCTAATATAAATGCCTTAAAATTGGCTAGAATGTGTCGATATAAGATTCTGACAATATGATAACCTTGGATAAAAATATTGTGGTATCACTCTATATTAAATTTGTTCGTTTTTAATTAAAAAGTAAAAAATGACTTTTCTTCCCTTTTAAACACAATATATTTTATTTTCAGAAACATTAAAATATTTTAGAGTAGTAAACATGTAACATAAATAATTTAAATAAATCATTGACTTCTACTTTCTGCATTAGATTTAAAAACACAGATTTCTTTACAACTTGAAAGGGCATCTTAGGCTATCTTTTGTTTCATTTTTTCTGTCCATTTGGTTTATTGTGCTTCAGGTAAGTGTTGATATACACTTTCCGGCCACTTTATTAGGTAAACCTTACTAGTATCGGGATAGATCCCCTTTTGCTTTCAGAACTGCCTTAATCCTTCATGGCATAGATTCAGCAAGATACTGGAAATATTCCCCAGAGGTTTTGGTCAATATTGACATGATAGCATCACGCAGTCTACAGATTACCTCTATGATGCAAATCTCTCGTTCCACCACATCCCAAAAGGTGCTCTATTGGATTGAGACCTGGTGACTGTGGAGGCCTTTTAAGTACAGTGACCCTACCATCCGAATGTTGAAATCAGACCAGACAACATTTTTCCAATCGTCCATTGTCCAATTTTGGTGAGCCTCAGTTTCCTGTTCTTAGCTGACAGGAGTGGCACCCGGTGTGGTCTTCTGCTGCTGTAGCCCATTCGCCTCAAGGTTGGACATGTTGTGCATTCAGAGATGCTCTTCAGCATACCTCAGTTGTAATGAGTGCTTATTTGAGTTACTGTTGCCTTTCTATCAGCTTGAACCAGTCTGGCCATTCTCCTCTGAACTCTGGCATCAACAAGGCATTTTCATTTTCACACACAGAACTGCCACTCATGGGATATTTTCTCTTTTTCAGACCATTCTTTGTAAACCCTAAATATGGTTGTGCATGAAAGTCCCTGTAGATCAGCATTTTCTGAAATAACTCAGACCATCCCGTCTGGCACCAACAACCATGCTATGTCACTTAAATCACTTTTCTTTCCCATTCTGATGCTCGGTTTATACAATGCATGTCATCTTGACCATGTCTACATGCCTAAACGCATTAAGTTGTTGCCATGTGATTGGCTGATCAGAAATTTGCGTTTATGAGCAGTTGGACAGGTGTACCTAATATAGTTGCACCTTAGTGTATTAGTACGTTTATCACTTATTCATTACAATCTTGATTGAGAATGTACAGCATGTGAACCCGAGCTCCTATGTGCTCTTGTGCCAACTCATTGTGCAATGATATTCAATATAAAACAATATTGGATTTGTTCATTTGGGAACTTGAACACTCAGAACTATTCATTACGATACAGAGACTAGAGTGCTTCATCAGTCTAGGTCTCAGGCGCACAGATATGAAACCCACATCCCTACTGAGCGATTGGAGGATCTGAGAGTTTTGATGAAGCTGAATAGAGCCAGTGTCCCACTAGCGTATCCCCCATCTGGGGTCTACTGACATCTTCAGCATCTGGCTGAAGGCCCAGAGACACTGAGAGTCGGTTAGCTCTAATGAATTGTAATATTGTGCAATTTTAATCAGACACTAATTCGGTGTAATTATCTTATAATTTCTGGATCGGATTAGATGGCAATTAAATCCCTGACAGAGAAATGGGAAAGAGGTCAGCCGTGGAGCGAATTGATTGACAGTGATGAAGTTCTTTTTGTTTTTGTCTAACACGGAAATTGTTTTAAAGGAAATAAAGTGATTTTCTGAGTGGGTTATTGGGTTTGGTATGGTTGGATGCAGTGATTCAGGATGTAATTATGCATGTCATTTCATGTTATTAGGTGACGTCTAGAGGAGAGAGGCTTTTTTTTTCTTTCTCTGAGGTTTGTGACCCTCAAGTAAAATCAAATATCAAGGGTCTTAAGGTGGTTTGAAACATTGTAGGTGATTGATTTGGCTGTTTAAAAGCCTGAGAGTGTCTCTTTCTGTTCATCGCGGAATAAAGTGGTCTCTGGATTTGTTTGGCAGAGGTGAAAGGTCATCTGGCACACATGTTAGAGGAATAGTTCACCAAGAATTCCGGAGACACTGTAAATCAGATCTGATTACTGCATGTGTATAACCAAACTTACTGCATCACAACAACAATGCCAAATTCTATTAGTGTGTGAATGTACTGTAGAGTAATGCCTACTACAGGTCTGAATATAGAAGTCATTGTTTACACTAGTGCGTTTTAGTTTTAAAGCAGCATTTTAGATCAAAAACAATCTGCATCCACACTAGCATTTCACCTAGCGTTTCTGAACGTATCCCTGTTTATGAATTTCCCTGTCCACACTATGCCACCAAAAACGTATATCACGTGACCATTTGTGCACTCTGGGCATGCGCATTCTAGTATAAACAGGATGCATGTGTCTCGCTCGGCATTTGTTAGTCATCAAACGCCGGTTCAACAATTAACACGATGGCAAAGAAAGCAAGAGAGGTATTTTTGTGGACAGAAAACGAGGTCAAGTTGTTGCTAAACGTAACAAATGAATAACGGCACAATGGCGCCTAAAACAGACAATAGTGCAAACAACGCTCCCATTTCTGTGTCCATGTTGTTGTTTACAGTAAAGACTTGTCTGCTGTCTTCCGGTAGCGTTAAAGCCATTATAGTCATGTGACTATAGTCATGTGGCTTGACGAATAAGGGAAGGATATGCAATGACACAAAAGCCCCAATCAGTTAGCGAATCTCAGCAGCCCCGCCTCCGTTTTCTTATGTCTCCGTTTTCCCCCATCCACACTGAGA